AATCTATGAAGCGAAAACACAAAACAAGAGAAGGAGAGGAAGACCTGAAAAAACCTGAAACGACATGATAGGAAAGATTCTACAAGGAAGAAATAAACAATGGAACGAAGTAAAAACACTGACTAGAGATAGAAAGGAATGGAAAAGTTCATAAAGCAACAGGGAGGATGTACAATGGGTCACATGTGGCCTAAGTGCGTGGGCTTACACTCACCCTCCCTACTCTACAGATACAGATACCTCTTGTGAAAATCATTGTTTCAATTCATAGTACACATTTCTCTATTACAAATGTTGTATGATGCATGACGATGAGATGCACAAGAAAAAGAAAATGCCAATTTATTTTTGGAACACACTATTTCGGAAGATGAGGACGATTTGCTCTTCAACAAACTGGTACTCACCTTCTAGTCATGAGTTGAGTATTCCTAGATGAAAGGGATAGCTTCCAACCAATATTTTTTGTGTTCATCTGAGCACTAAATGTCTTTGAGCTCATAAAAATCATCGAACTCTTCCTGGGTACTTGGACTGTGCAGTTTACTGGCTTCATTCATCTATTAACTGGTGAGTCTTCAAGATTTTTGCCTTCCACTCAATCAGTAATTAGCAAATCATTGATGAAATGAGTTGGAGCTCTTGAAATGAGCAGAAAAGTTCTTGTGAGTCTTTTCATTAGCATTTCTGATCACACTAGAATTCATATTTTAATAAAACACTAACCAGCAGCACCCTTCGACTCAAAGTGAAGTGTTATTTGACTAACTTATAGTGTTTCAATTTTCTGAACATGTCGTTTATGTTTCTGAGTAGCAAGATCAAGGTTCAATCCTCCAAATTCAAACAAGTACTGAATATCGTTATACGTGTGCTGAGAATTTGATTACTTCATTCAGTCAAAACTTGTGAGCCTTCATGGGCCTGATTGCATGAAGTCTCCTGCGTGTTTTGATACAGTTCACTGGTGGATTACGAACTGGAGACTTTGGTCAAACCAGTGGGTGATAGATCCGTTCATTCTAGTTCCCCATTAATAATAATAATACATTTATTTTCCCAAAGATGATAAAACTTATAGGAATAGTCACCTATAATCTAAAGATTTAAAAAATGAAAAATTCATCCAATGTATAAAAAGCATTGTCGAGAAAATATTTCCTCAAACGAGTTTCAAAAATAGAAATATTGACGCAACTAACTATTTCATTAGGCAGTTTATTAAAAATCCTCACACCCAAATATTCAGAAGATTTCAAAGATACAACATATTTACAGTAGGGAATAAGGAAATCAGCGCAATTACTCGTATTATAACAATGGACTTGTTAAATTCTAGTGAACTTATTTTTATTTGTGTATACGTATACACACATTTCTAAAATTGAAATACTCGTCATTGTTAAAATTTTTGAGGCTTCAAAAATCGGTCTACAGGATGCTTTGCTTGAGGTATCGCAAATGATTTTCAAAATGCGTTTTTGTACAATAAATACGTCTGGTGCTCGAGTGGACACACCCCAGAAACATATGCCGTATCGTAATCGGGAGGCTACTTGTGCATGATATAATACGATTAATTGTTCACGTAACAGAATGTTCTTGAGATTTCGGAACATAAAACATAATGAGTTCAATTTTGAGATCCAGTTGGTACAATGTTCTTCCCGGTTTAAACCAGAAGTCTATAGTAATTCCAAGAAATTCAACTGATGAAGTAGGCTCAATCAAGATTTCATCAGTTTTTATTGTTACAGTTTCACTTTGTTTTTGGTAGTTGTGGAATCGTATTATATTTGTCTTATTACTATTGAAATAGAGACACTTCTGATCACACCATGAAATGAGGTTACCAACCGCAGTTGTACACTTTTGTTTCAAGGTATTTTCACATTTGTCAGAGACAAATATATTGGTGTCATCTGCATATCTAATAAAGCTGGCAGAAGATTCGATATTACCCATGTCATTCGTGTAGAATAAAAATAAAATTGGCCCCAAAACAGAGCTTGGGGAAACGCCCATAGAGATATTTTGATATGCCGATTTAGTGGAAGATATACTAACAAATTGTTTTCTGTGTGAATACTATATTTGTACGATTAAGACAAGAGTACCTCATGCTGAACGCAGTCAAATGCCCTGCTGAGATCACAGAAGATCCCAACAGGACACTCACCTGATTCTAAATCCTTGCAGGTTGCGGTGGACTTAATCTAACCTAACCTCTCTCTCAGAGCAATACATGAGCAAGAAAAACACCTCAAAGCATCCACTTTCGCGATTGATGCAAACAAATAGATATAATCTATGAAATTGAATGGCGCACTTTCTTTTGGGTCGGTTTTGCTTTGCAACTTAGGCTTGAGTAAGTAACAATTATCTTCTGTATATCGGATTGAACTATGTGGTACTTTTTTTCTGTTCATTGAACTGAAAAATTAGTACTGTAGTACTAGTAGTAGTACTGAAAAATGTTTTTATCCTTTATGATAATAATATCGTTTTTATTATGTAGAGATTACAAATTACTACATAATTCGAAGAAATAATACAGGAAAATCTCTTTCTTGCTTGAACATCACGAGGCGAGATTTAGTTTTCGGCTACTCTTACATCTCACCCCCTGATGCTCATCTAGAGTTGATAATACCATATGGCCCTATGAATTACAAAAGCTTTAAAACTAAAAAATCAAACATTACCAAGTTTGTTCGACCAACATTTACCTACATTATTCACTGTGCAGATAGTAAAGATCCTTTCATAAACTTTTCAAATGCTCTCAAATTTGAGTCCCTGTACTGAATAGGGATAGAATTGAAATGTTTGATAGCAGTATATGTAAAGCTCCTCTGGAAAGTAGCTGTCGAATGATGTGGCATCGTGAGTAAGCACTTGTCCCTTATATTAATAGAATGTGTATCAGACCTAGGAAGTAATTTCCTTCGAATAATGTCATTTTCATTTCTCATCATTTTATAAACATACATGGATAGATGAAGTCGTTTACGATTTTCCATATTGAGCCATTCTGACTCTCTTAATTTTTGAGATACGTGGTCATACCGACGTGATCCGTAAATGAATCATACGCAAAAATTCTGAACCTTTTGAATCTTATATTTAAATTCATTATCAAGACAAGGACCATACAAAAAATCACATTACGTAAACTGTGAGAGGACAAGGGTTTCACACAGAGTCTTGGGCAAATTTACATTGAGAATAAACCGGTTGCTGTAAAGAGTTTTCAGTGAAGTGAAAGTTTTTTTAAGAATGCAATTCACATGAGATTTGAGATGGGGATCGTTGTCTATTATTAAACCCAAGCTTTTCGCCGATTCAAACGGCCATTACTGGTACATCATTGAAAGCAACTGCCAAATTTGTATGCATAAAATCGTACTGAGTTTTTGGTGAGAAAACTAATATTTTTGACTTGGACGAATTTAATTTCAAGTTATGAAAGGCACTTTTTTAAAATTTAAGTTCAAGATCATCATTCAGCAAATTCTGTGCATCATTCAGGTTTTCTTTAGGACAACTAATTAATGACTGCGTATCATCGGCATATGCCTGAACATTGCAAGCGGTTATGGATTTTAGAATATCATCGGTATAGATAATGAAAAATAGTGGACCGAGAATACATCCTTGTGGTACTCCCGCTTGAACGTAGTCAGAGTTTCTTTCATTTGATACTATCTTCTGTTTTCGATTCGTTAGATATGACTTAATCATTGCAAGTGAACTATTAGAAAAACCATAATATGATTGATAGTATCAAATGCTTTGGAAAAATCTAGAAGTGTTAGCACACTAATGTTTCTTTTATCCAAATTAGCAATCACTGTGTCTAGAACCTGAGTGAGAGAATTAGATGTACTCATTTTTTTCTGGAATCCAGTTTGACATGAGGGAATTAGTGAATTAATTCGAGCACATTCTGAAATTCAGGAAGACATAACTTTTTCTATCACTTTTGACAGGCATGATAGAATACTTATTATACGAAGGTCAGCTAGATTTGTTGGATTCGCCACTTTAGGCAGGGAGCATCCTATCGCTATTTTCCATAAATCAGGAAACTGATTTGTTTCTATGCTGTAATTAATGAGATGAACTCTAAATGGATCAATGAAAGGGCTGCAGTACCTCAACATGATTACAGATATATCATCTATACCGTATGCTGTACTTTTTATCTCAAATAAAATTTCATGAATCTGTTCAACGGTAGCCATTTTGAATTCAAATTTAGGTTTATTCTCCTGACAAGAATGACTATCATAGAATTGAATTGCTTCATTACAAGTTGAATCGTTAGTTTCCCCCCAATTTTGAGAAAAATAATTATTTATCACTTTAGGATCAGATAATTCTTCAGGAATTGTACTATTCTTACCTCTCACAACTTTGAAAGACCTTAAAGTATTCCAAACTCTCCTACTATCGTTGACTCTACAAAAACTATTCAAATATGCTCTTTTTTCGTTTCTTATCGACGAGAGGGTGAAGTTGCGCAATAGTTTATATCTTTCCCAGTCTTGATGGGTTCTTGTTCTTTTATACTTACTCAAAGCATTATTTCTTTGTGACATTAAAATTTCAATATTTTGAGTCATCCACGGAGCTTTTGATTTAGTAACTCTAACCATCCTTCTAGGTGCATAGTAGTCAAATACATGAAATAAGAACCCATTGAATATTTCAATTTTTCTACTGATATCATTTTCTGCTAAGAACTCATGCCATGGTGACATTTGCAGAGATTGAATGCATTCTATCGCATTGAAATCAGCATAATCCCTAAATGTAACAAATTTAACATAAGTTTGTTGTTTTCCAAAAGCAAGTTCACAAAAACTAATTTGTGATCTGATATTAAATCAGCATTAACTGTTCCTGCCTCCGATACCATATTTTTTATCAGAAATAAAGATGTTATCAAGAGTTGTGCATGCCCTATCGTCAATTTTTGTTGGTTCGTTTATCAAATGGGTAAAGTTCAAAAAGTTGAAACAATCTATAACAGGATTTGCCATATGACTCAAATCATGGTTGAAGTCCCCAACACAAATAACATGGTCGGTAGATGGAATAAAATCATTTAAAATATTGTCCATATACCTAACAAAGTATATAATTGAATTATTTTTAGGTGGTCTTATATATAATGCCCATAATGAAATTGGTTTTGTCAATCTTAAATTCAACCCATAAATGTTCACAGAGTTTATTGGATAATTCAACAACTATATTTATCAGCTGATAATGTGGATTTTGAAATAAAGAGCAACCCCTCCTCCAGAACAGTTTCTATCCTTTCTCAATAAATTATATCCAGGTAGCATAATTGCATACGATGCCACATCATCAGACAATCTACTTTCAGTTATTGCAATTATATAAAAATTCATGTTTTGCACCAAGTCTGAAAATTCATAGAATTCAGTAAATATTGATCGAACGTTCAAGTGAGCAATCTTCATTATTTTTAAACAATTAAATTGCGTTTCTGTAGTGCCTCCCTGATTAGTTGGATGTATTATAAACCGCAGAAGTATATTACAATTTATGAAATAAATTTACCAAGAATAAAAATTGATTTCTTTTGTGAAATAAGAAACGTATTCTGAATACGAAATTTTACATAAGTAACGAGATACCTTTTATCCTGAACTAGAATGAATAATAGAAATTATAGAAAAATAAAAAAGAAGATAAACTTTCAATGGATCTAGATACACTTTTAGAAAAAATATTGATTCCAACATTGATTGTCATTGACACAGCTTATTATTTCTTGTATTTCCACTACCGTAGGTTTGACCACTTTTCCATTATGCTTCCACCGAGTTTTTCCATCAATTGTCCAAACATTATTATGCCCAAACTTTGAGCCTGCTGAGAAAACGACTTTACGTCGAAAAGGTATGAGATCTTCTTTAATGACAGTGCCATCTGCAGAAAAAGTTGCTGAACTGAAAACAAGTCTATCGCTGGATCTGTTTTATATTCAATTCAGTATCTGACTGTCCAATCCTAAAATCTTTTTCAAATATTTTCCAAACTTGGAGAGGATGATACTGAGTGAATAAAACTGAAATTTCCTGATTTCGTAACTTCATATATTTTTTCAAGTGTATGCATCTGTGTGAATCACCACACTAGAAATGATTTGTGGAATTCAAGAAGTTGTGAACCCCTGATAGAAAATTTTATCAACATATGTCACCAGCAAACGATATTTTGCGAATACCCTGTACAAAAGTGGTGTCATAAGAATGAGTTCACTTCGGTGGATTCCTTTTGTTTCAATAAATTATTCTTCCCAGAGTTTTATGTACTCCGCCCTTCCATTTTAATCATCATGAAATGAATGTTTCCTCAATCTTCGATATTTCATTCACCATTTCTTTCGCAATCTTCCGATTACTTTGATCCGGAATCCAATCACATGAAAAACCAATAAAACATTCATCTCATCAATATTTTCTAACGTAGACGTAATTGATTTCAGAACTCGATCTGGACCTTGGAGACGACGGAAACGAGCTGAACGAGCTCGGAGCCTCTTTCCCGCCCTTGGAGAGCCCTCCGGTTCATTTCGCAACCGACAACAACACGATAGTGACGTCACAAACAGGATCTACTGCTCTAGTGCCATGTGTCATCAACAACATCGGAGATGGAATGGTAAGAGAAGATATGCATGTTCAGCGAGGGCTTAGAAATCTATTGTTATGAAATGATTTTTTTGCATAGATGATGTATTTTTTCCTGGACATAATAATGATAATAATAATAGATATGATAATGGTGATGGTTGGTTTGCTATGTATGCGAATGACATGTGACTGCCGGACAAAATGACAACCAAAGTTGATGCAGTAAATATGCGTGTCCTTCCAATCTTACTCAACTCATACAGAATTGTGAAGTAGACTAGGAAGGAGCTGTATCAACTCCAAGCAAGGACCCAAAAAAAGATGTATCTCCCAAACCACCCGTTCCACGGTTGTACTTTCCCCGACAATAGGAAGGCCGTGGACTTTCGAATTTGGAGTATCTACATGACAGGGTAGAACTGGAAGAAGCCTGTGAAGTCGTCAGAAATTCAGATCTCCTTCTCTGCATGATCCGCGACCATGAGAGGGTAGGAATTGGATAATTCCTCTTCAGAGACAACACTGCAGTCTACCGCAGTCGTGTGATGGGTATAGAGGTTATTGACACTAGGTGATGGGTCTGTCATATGCACTTGCTGTCAGCATGTACAGTATATGCACTCTAGACTTATTTTCATCGATATAACGTGGTTCTGAAAGTGCTTTATTACCTACGCTCCGGTGTAAATTGAATCCATTGTGGTGAACAAAAAGTGCCAAATTTATTGAAACTATTCCTTTCTCACCCTAAGGTTCATATAGGTTAAAAGCCCGATATAATCCTTCTGTACCACCAGAGCAAAACGATATTTCATTGTTCGTACTGGAACCTCTGGCGTAATATGAATATATTGAAAAAACGTTTCTAATACCAGAACATATTGTCGTTGGTTGATAAAGCTGGTGGGACCTCCTGAATATATCAGGGCTTCGGGAGATAGGGCCTGACCGACGCAAATTCGAAAAAATATAATAACAATAATGATAATAACAATAAGAGCTCATAAGTCCACGGCCTTCCGGTCGTCGGGTGAAGTACTACCGGGAACGGATGATTTGGGATGCAAAGTCTTATGGAGGTGCATCATTTTTCTGGTCACGAACATTCGAGTTGGAGTATCGATATGACAGAATGATAGTGGAAGGAGCCTATAAAGTTGTCAGGTAAAGGTGTAGATCTGTAATGTTTTCACAGTGTTGTCTCACAGTGTTTGCTGTCGTGTGATGAATCACATTCTTTCAACCTAGATATAATAGTTTCAGCTCCTTTCAAAGATTTTAGTAAAGAGCTTCGACAGCTTGAGCTAGATGAAATTCACAATCCGATAACAAACTCTGATAAATCTGGTCATCGAAGCTGTCAAAAAACAAAGTTGCTGCTACGAATATGCTTGCCATTTCGATTCTACTCTGGAGTCAGTCATTGACTATTTCCCAAAATTCATCTAATTACCTATAATTGTTATTGTACTTCAACGATTTTTTCTCGAAATCTACCGTTTACCTAGAATTAACATTTTTAACTGAGTTCAGTCGTGATGCTGTCGTGATGAATGTGTATAGCTAGTCTGTGACTAAACGCGTTATTAGTTGAAGTTGAAGTCTGGAAGTTGTTGAATCATCATGGATACATTTTTTTGACCACAATGTTCCAAATGATGAAATCTTAGAGGTGAATGAAAATGCTGATGGTGTATATATCTGCACACCAACTCCTTGTGAAAACCCTATTTGTTATAGATTTTCGTTGGTTCCAAAACAAGTTTTCTTCGCTCTTGAAACTAGTCGATATCAACAAACTTAATGTGACATTGACAAGGGAAAATTATCGTTGAACAAATTTTCGGCATCCTGGTCAGTAGCGATTTCGTCAAAATTGTTGAAGGGTTCAGACATACGCGAATGATGGTGGTTCATCCTCGGGAAGATCATAGTGTGCGGGTTGTTGGCAAAAGGTGGACATTCGGCAGTTTGTTGAATCACTGCAAAATTTTCATGGATTTGAACATTTTTCCTCTTCTGCATTTGTCCTTTTATGATGTTGAAACTGATAGTGTTGAGTTTGCCTGTTAAGTCCTCTTCTACAATTTTTTTAGAACTGAAGTCTGATTTACTCTCATTAAAGTTTGGATAATTTTCTACAGAAGAAGCTGGGGAGAAATCCGTAGTATCATACCGGTTTAGTGGGCTAAAGAAAATACAATACTAAGTATTGTATTTGAATAATTAATACAGTATTGATACAGTAAGTATTGATACAGTTGGGTCGTGTATAGTATACTTTCCTTGATCTCACAGGATAGAAAATCAGTACGATTATAACTTGGGAGGATCCGATCTAATGGACAGGAATATTATTACATACCAAATTGGTAGTATGTGATATATTGTGATGTTACGAAGACGTTTTCTTCGAAGGCGCCTACAGTGGAAAATCCATATTGGAAATCTATATGGAGAGTTGTACAAATCACCTTTTGCCTAACATACCTGAAAGCTCATAAAGCGAAAGCTAGGTTGAGAAACTTTCAACTTCAAGGGCAAGTTCATTCTTGAACTTTGTGATGATATACGATAAAGCATTATATAACATTATATAATAATTAAGGTAACAGATGAAAAATAACAAAATTGTGAGACACATCGCTTCCCAACGTGTAGTATAAATTGCGATAGATAGATAGAGCGAATCGGAGAAATCAAAAAGATTCTAATGAAAGAGAAAGTGATTTGAATATGATAGTTCAATATCTATCATATGATATATTATCGAAAATTTTTGAAAATTATGAAAAGTTTCGTTTCTGCTATTAAATTTCATTGTTACAAATTATTGACGAGTGTGATATTTTGACTCTTCACTACAGTGACAGTAACTCAATTAGTGAACTATTTAGACTATTCTGGCAGTGTCACTGGAATTTCACGAACTGATTTCCACCTCAGTGAATGAAATAAATTTGTCAGAAACAATTCGTTCCAAAATTCAGCTCGCAACATAAAGCAAATGCGGACAACAATTACTGGAGCAGATACTTGCATAACAATTACCAGATTAAAATGTAGCTTTTCATTATGAAACTCTGATATGAACGTGAAACTTGTATAAAATCTGTAATTAAAAACTTTCCGTTCTCCGGTTCTCCATTTATGATGCGGAGTATTTATACGGCACTTTTATTTTGGACATTTTCATTTTGACGGATAATTGCGTATTCCGAACATCAAAAGTTGAGTTTAATGCTGTGTTTCAACTGTAAATGAAACTGTTCAGAGAATCAAAAGGGAACAATGGCGGGCGTGGGAAATGGTGCGAAAAACATCAAAAGGAATTTATTAGTTAACGTTGAGGAAATTTGAGAGGGAAGAATTGGGCTGTTACACGGAATAATCGAATTGTCACCAGTGTTTTTGTCTCAAGTATTGAGCCAGATTCAAGTAAAAAATACATTTCATACAATTATTCGCATGTAGGCGGTTACTGAAACATTCCAATGGGTTCCATTTTTTTACTATCATTATGAGTATATTGATGATATGTTATTATTTTTTATTTTCGTTATTTCATATGTATGAAGTAGGTATTCTGTTGGGTAACTGAAATATATTCATTTTTTATTCCAGAATATTCCTTCCTTGCGAATGAATTGAAATTAGCATTTTCATTTTAAATTGTTTCGAAAGTTTTGTCAGTTTTCATGAGGCTACTTCAAAATGTAATATATCAGTGAATACTTATCCAATGTAATCAGGTAGCATCTGAATAAGTTCACGTTTGCCAACGTAACACTAGTCGACTGATTTCGTTAGCATGAAAATTGGATGCTTGGGATTCGATTGGGCCGTTTTTGCCTGGTCCTAACTGATGAAAAGTTGCCGGTGAGAAAATTATCGAAGTGATTGCAAAGATGGTTGTCGGTTGGCGAGAGGTCTGAATAGTATGATGCATGAAATAGAACGTTGATGATCAAATCGGTAAATTTTTGGACGGAGATTTGTGAAACGTGTAGATGGGCGTTGCTGTGAAGCAACGCTCATCGGTACTCTTCTATTGACATTCCATCGATTTCCCCACGATAATACGAGTGCCGACTGTAATGATTTGACCCGGTTGCAAAAAGTTAATGTGATATAGTGAATCATATCAGAGGATGACCACCATACAGTAATCATTTTTTTGTGGCTTTTGGGAAGTGCCTTGGTAGCTCATCGATGTCCAATCACTATCTTCAACGTTTTTCGTTGTAGTGGATCCACTTATCCACTTTCCATCACACGTGATGATCCGATCCAAAAACGGATCGTTTTGGTTGCGCAAAAAAAAGACTTGTGTATGAACGACATATTGGAAAATACCAAGAATCCAATGTATTGCTTCGCTGAAGATAGCACACTTGTCTCGTCATTCCATTTGGATTCCAAGACATCGACTACGAAGGCACATTTTCACCGGCAGCAGGAGGTTGAATATCTTAATGAGGATCTAGAAGTGATTCCGAATTGGAGTGAGAGTATTCAGGTTCAATTCAATGCCACGAAAACTCAGGCATCGGAGATATAATAATATCAGGTCAGACAATGTCACTTTCACCTTCGATCAGTTTGTTGGGGGTTAAAATAGACACTAATTTGTCTTGGCACAATTATGTTGCTGGAATTGCAAAAGCTGCTTCTCAAAAGCTTGGAACACTATTCTGAACCAGAAAACTGTACACTCCTCAGCATCTTTTGATGCTTTATAAACTCAGATCACGCATTCTTCTCATGTAAGGAGCTCTGCTCCCAAATATACCCTGGAGTTGCTGGATTCCATCCAGAAAAGAGCAACCTCGATAGCCTGGAACATCGCAGAAAGTTTGGGGACTTATTTCTCTTCTATATATGCTTTCACGGGAAGTGTTCAAGTGACTTGGTACATTTGATTCCACCAAAAGCGAATTTCAATGTTTGAAAACTCTTTCATCTGAATAACTGCGTTTATGTGGAATAAAATTTTTGAAAACTTTTTTCCAAATGGATTTTTTTCCAGCAAATCAAATCCAATGTGAATCGCTACTTTCACAGTGGCACTGCTCTGAGAGAGCCTTAAGGATTTTTCTGCAGCACTTGTGTTTAAAAAAAAGGAACGTGACAATTTCTGTTGATCATTCAAATCGTGGGGCACACACTTCTGGAGGCTTTTGACCTTACTGATACTTTTCAAATCATCAAAAACAACATTGGGGCTGACGCCCAATCCTTCTGTCATATTCCACGCACCGTTTGTAATGGGTTAGTCTTCACCAGGGTCATCGAATTCTCGTCCTGGATTACTATAGGATGACCACTTCGGGGCTGATCTTCGAGACTAGAGTCGTCGGAACAAAATTTCGCAAACCAACGTTGATCAATGCATTCAACAATACTATCATTGCCAAATGCTTGAATGATTTTTTGAGCTTCTTCGGCAGCGACTTGATTCAATTTGAATTAGTAGAAGAAAGTTGTCCGAGAATCGATCAGTATATACCACGATACAGTAGAATGAATATTCATCGAGATATGGATCTACAACGACACAAGACAATACACCGGACACAAACAACTTTAGAAACAACCTGATATCATGAATTTCACGAATTCGGTCTGCAATTGAACAAAATATATATGGAGCGGTTCGAAACTCTGGCCATTGAGGAAGCCCACAAAAAGCTCCGAGTTTGGTTGAGATACGTTGACAACGTCACCATCATCTTTAAAATGGAGAAGGAAGTCCAAAACGGATAGCAATTCTCAGACGTATTCGTGAAGAGGACCAACACTCAGTAGGAAATATCTGTATATCGAAAACCCACTCACACAAAACAGTATCTGAATCACGAATCCAACCACCATCAAACTATCAAAAGAGGAATCATCAAGAAACTAGTAGATTGTGCTTTCGGGCTCTGTGATACGAAGAAAGCTCGAGAAGGAACTAGACATCTTCGAAAAAAATCTTCAACGGAATGGTTACTCCAAAGTGATGGTGGAACAGATTCTGATTGGAAGACAGCAAGAGCCTCACAAGAACGAGAAGTCGTCATAACCAGCACTTGCCCTTTCCTACGTCAGAGGATTGTTGAAGAGGATGATAATAATTGAGTCCAAATACAACATTATAACCTACTTCAGATCCGAAAATACTATATGTAGCAGCCTCACGAAAACCAGGCCACCAAACGTGGAGTGCGATTCTAAGAAATGCATTCACCGGATACCCTATGAGGGAAGCAAATCCTATATCGGTGAAACCAAGAGGTCATTGAAGGTCCACATTGCCGAACACTAGAGAAACATACAACGAGGAACCAGCAATTCAAAAATAGAAAGGCATGTTTGGACTCATCAACTTAACATCAAGTGCTGCTAAGCTGAGAGCATCTTCAGAGAGGAACGGTTCATGAGTAAGTTCGAAGAAGCTGCATATATGTTGATCAACGACGCAAATCTGTAATGAACAAAAAAAAAACGGTTTTCTCCCGCTGAACCGGTGAGACGGAAAGAGGGAAGAGGGATAAGGTAAAAGCGTTCGAATCACACCTATCAAAAGTCATCACACGGAGTAATAGTCTAGTAATCATCAAAGGCGATTGTGGATACTAACTATCGAAATGTCATGAAGTAACTTGGTTTGAAATAATTCTTGATTTTTTAATGTTTTGTTGATTTGTTTCTTAATTGTTCTATTTTAATTTTTTTGCTTATCTTCATTGTATTGTAATTTCATAATATAATTGATATTTCCTGCTATTCACTTTGATTTTATTTGTTCTTTCAGAGATTTCGAATCATATTAGTAAAATTCACAATGAAACATTGTCAACCACATTCGAACATACCTGATATTATATCATGAATAGACTAATCCGTTACTTTTTTGGTAGAAATGAACCAAGAAAGCTACAGTGTTAGCAAAACACGTCTCGAAATAGAGAATATTTGTGAAAATTCATCAATTTTCATCATGGGTAATGATATTACATTCATGGAACCAAGAGAACCTCTACATGATGTGAAGAATTTCAGTCCAGACGAAAAGATTATCGTAGAAACGATCTTTATTTAAACTTGGCTTCATGCATTTCAAAAATTGAATCTTTTCACGAGGTTTTTCCCACAATGGACCTCTAAAGTTTTGATCGAATATTGACTTGTCTTCAAGGAACACCCAATATAATTAACTGGTTGAACGATTGAGGATCTGAAATATTCCCTCTAGTTTTTTCTTTAATTGAGCAGTTATGCAGCAGACAATGTGGCTCCTTGTCGTTATAATCTATATGCACTTTCAAATCACAGTGGGACTACTTACAACGGACATTACACAGCATATTGCAGACACCCATATAGTGGCACGTGGCATGAATACAACGATTCACACGTGTTCCCATTTTCGCCAAAATCACTTGTGAGCAATGAGGCATATGTCCTCTTTTATGAACAGGAGGAAACGAAGCAGCACCTTTGACGTGATTTTTTTTCTTCTTTCTTTTTTGTTATAATCTTAGTTCTTTGAACTGATTTGTATTTCATGATTGTTTCAAATTTCATTATAAAAACTTTAATTTCTTAAAAAAAAATTGAAGCATACTTCTCTTGATTTTCAGGTGTCCTGGATACGCAGAAAAGACTATCACTTGCTGACAGTTGGTTTAACAACCTACAGTAGTGACGACAGATTTCAAGCTATACACTTACAGCACTCAGAGGTAAGAGGTATTGAAATATTTATAATGTATTCAGGGTGGAAAATGCCTCGTTTACTTTCCTTTGGCATTCAAGGAGGGAGAATATTGAATTAGTCATTCACAGTGTCGGTATTTACGTTGATGATGAACTTAGTTGCCTTGAAATGAACACTGTTACATATGAGTCTCGAGGGAAACCACACAGCAGACTTCGAGGAATGGTATTCTGAGATGCATGGTGATCATAGTCGAGTCTACGAAAGATTTTCCTCGGAACCCCTTAGAAACAGCTCGGATTTTGTTCATTATTTTCCGTTTCGTCCTTCATCATATAAGTTGGGATTAGAATTCTTCTGAAGCGTGGGACACAATTATTCATATTATTGATATAATATGTATAATATACTTATATGAGAGAATCAGTTTTGCGAGACTTGTTTTCGATAATGGTAATGAAAAGCTTTATGAGACAGTGGAAATGAGGTTGAGAATTGAGAATCCATTCTAATCTGCGAAAAATCTCAATATAATTTGGTCAGTAGTTCTAGCCTGAACCACAAATACGTTGCAGGACTCAATTGTCCTTAAAGGATAATCCTCAGTAAAAGAGGGCAATGACATTCCTCCTCATGGGATTGGCCGATAAGTGAATCCTCGTCTATAAAACGAGGCTCCTCAAAGCGGACAGCTGTGAAGCAAAGCTTCTGAAAAAATGATAGATATTTTAATAACAACTCATTAAAAAAAATCAATGCGGTTGTTATAGTCTATCCATTCCCAATTGGAACAGCGATAAAAATAAGAGCAGTCATAAACATTTCTTGCCTGTGGCTCCTAGTCGCCCAGGTAGTTAGTAAACATGTTATCAAATGTAGTTAAGGAATAAAGGCTCGGCCAGCTGGACTGGCTGAATACTAATTTTTTGTCCGTTTCACAATATTTCTTCATAAGTGCCGTGTGTTCGTGGGGTTGGGTGAGGTAGTGAGTGGTTTTGCAAACCGATTTTTGAAGACTTTTTCTAGAGATCAATTACCCTAACATCAAACTGATATTTTTGCACCCGACACGTATTTCGATAACAAGGTTAGCATCTTCAGGAGAAGAAAATTGATACTGAATCTAAAGACAAGAGTTAGCTGTTTATATACCTGAAGTTTTTTGATACGATGTGGACTTTGTTTGTTAAATGATGATGATGATTATTTGCAGGTAGTGGTTCCACTAGTTAATCAATTAGGATAATCATCATTTAACAAACAAAGTACACTTCGGACCAAAAAACTTTAGGTATATAAACAGCTAAACCTTGTCTTTAGATTCAGTATCAGTTTGCTTCTCCTGAAGATGCTAACCTTGTTAGCGAAACGCGTGTCGCGTCGGGTGCAAAAATATCAGTTTGATGTTAGGGTAATTGATATCTTTCAACTTTTCAACTTTTTCACCAAAGGTTCCAATATCATCGTTTAAACCGATTTTTGTGAAAATCTTAGTGTTTTTGGGTACTTTCATCAATATGGCTCTCTGGAAATCTTTTGAAACTAATGAAAACATTACGTGTGAGGAATCTGTGTCAATCGACAGGGATTCGGAATTTGCAAATGAGGACATACATGTTCAAGTTCAGCGAGTAATTTTAAATATTCATGAATGCTTGAAGAAGGAAAACTGTCACACTTCACATAATGCTATTGTGAATAGAATATGCGAGTTAACGGAACTATCTCGTTCTACAGTTCTTCGAGTCATTTGAATAGGGGATGTCATTGACCATGCAATGAAACGAAAACAAAGGAATAAAAAATTCGCAAACGTTGATGGTGATACAAAAAATGTGATTCGGCGAAAAATTCTTGGTATATACCAAAAAAAAGAAGAACCAACATTGGAAATGATTTGGTATAAATTACTCGACTATCCCGATTACAATTACAAATCTTCAGAAACTCTACGAGGTGTCTTATTGTCTTGTAGTTTCAGATATAAAAAATTGAATAATCGGACGGTCATAATGGAATCGACACGCATTGTTCAACTCCGACAAGAATATTTGGGGCGAATGAAAAGCTACCGAGAATCCAGCAGACGTATAATCTACCTCGACGAAACTTGGTTAGACACCCATGATGTTGTCAAATATGTCTGGGTAGACGAAACCAAGTATTGTGCTTTGAACACACACACCTTCTTCAAGGGGAAAACGTGTTATAATTTTGCATGCCGGGAATGAAAGTGGTTTCGTACCTCACGCTTTGCTTCTGTCGGCCAAAAATATAAAAGATTCGTCTACTGATTACCACGAAGATATGACTGCGGATTTATTCGAAACCTGGTTCAGTGAGCAGCTTCTCCTAAATATTCCCCAAACTCTATTATTGTTATGGATAACGCTTTGTATCATTTTCGGTTATTGACTACAATACCAAACAATAACACAAAAAAAGCAGATATTGTTGATTTCATGCGAAATCATGACATGGAAATACACGCAAAGATTTCAACGAAAAAGGTATTACTGGCGACCATAAAACAACATTATTTCAAAAAAGATTATATTATTGATTCGATGTGTGAAACACGTGGTCATATTCTCTTACGTTTGCCTCCATACTATTGTGTGTTCAGTCCAAATGAAATGGTTTGGGCCACGATGAAAGAAAGCTTGCGTAAATGTAATCAGTCATCGACTTTGAATGCTGTAGTGCTTGACAATATAAGGCGAGTGGTGAATGAAGTAGGTTATAGTGATGTGTGGAAGAACTGTGTGGTTCACGTTATAAAAGAAGAGAACAAATATTATGTGCAAAGTTCCATGAATCCAATCGATATTCAACCCGATGATGATTCCACCATATCCGAATATAGTGAAGAAGATTTTTCATTTTTCTAGCAATTTTGTTGGCTTCTATTATTTTGTAAATATATGTTTGACGAGAATTCGATGTGATTATTTGTGTTTTCATTGTATTTTGAAGTTTTCGACTCGGAAATCAACTATCTCAAATTTAAAAGTTTTTCATAATTACCCATGGTGGAAAAATTCGGTTGAGATAACTTTTTCATGGGGTGATCAATTGCTATGATTGTAAGAATAAGTAACTGAGATACTACCACTGAAAAATAATATGCCGACGCCTATGTCGAGGCGGGAATTCCTTCTCTGTGCTGTTCCAATTGGTATTGGAAATACTTCTACATGATTTCCCACTTCACCCACTTCATTCACTTCAACAAAATGAAGGTTCACCACACTTCTTCTTACAGTAGGTTAGGTCCGTAGTGAGTGGGTCTATTCGACCATCCAACGCAACCCGCAAGAGTTTGTTGTGACTCACACTCATTCACACTCGACCAAATAAACTCAGCTTCTTCACGAAGGTGATAACTTTATATGGTGAGTGGTTTTTCAGATCAGATGGTAAGAGTATGCCTGACTCGGTCCCCATGTGGGCAGGCACAACGTATGTGCTCTGCTGTTTCAACATTTTCCAAACAGAGGCGACACACACTGTCTTCTGACAGTTCGAGTCTCTGCGTATGACGATTCAAATGACAGTAAGCTGTAAGAGGGCCTATTAGACATCGTAGTTCATCCCTACTGTAGTCCATTAACAGTTTGGTATCGATCTTCGAAGGGTGAATAAACGCCTTGGAGTTAACCAATCTTGGAAGATTCTGCCAGAAGTCCATAAATCTTCTTGCCATCCAGGTGTTCAATCTCACAGTAAGGTAGTAGATGATTGAAAATTCCTTTGAAAATGTATTTGATCAAAGAATAGCATTGAAATGTCCACCATGATCATCCGACTCATCGCCTTCAGATTTATCCATATCGGCTCAGCTGAAATCGATTGTGTATCAGTGGAACACCAAGTTCTGAAAGATCTGAAAAAATGGATAATAGCTGCGTAAAGAGAACTGCAAGCAGAAGATTCTGGAATATGAGACAGAACTTCGAGAGTAGATTTCTTCACGTTCAGAGAATAGAGGTTACCATTTTGAACATTTGATAGAAATAATAATTTTTCATTAATAATTTGCAACACCAACCCGAGTATCTTCAGGGTTTCACTTGATTTCTCCTAAATTATTGAACAGATGAGTGAGGTATGTGATATTTTCAAAAAGGTAGCTGAACAGCCTTCAAAATGAGGTATTATTAGACACCACTTTACATTTGGGAATTTGGCTACACGTACTAGATATAATTTGGTTGAAGCTTAGCTTACAGAATATACCCCTCAAAAATGCCTTCAACTAGTTTTTGCCTATCACTAGATTTTATATAGAGGTTGAAATTTACTTTCCGAGTGATAGGTTTTCAAATTGACATCCAATAAGTATTTTTAGATGACAAACCAAAAACTATTGTCACGCGTATAAGTGATAACTCTATTCTTCATCTACTTTCGATAAGCCTATTTTGGAATTCATCATGTATGAATTTTATTTATGTATGAATCTCAGAGTTTCCTCTGAGATTCATACATAACAGTTAACAAAAATTCTACTGAATATATGAAATGTACTGAAATTCGATGCTTACAACTGTTGAGTGTTAAAATGAATTATTTTTCAATTAAATGATACAGTCTGTCAAATTTAGGAAGAGAGTTGAGAATTCTATCTTTCTCTCTCGCTCTCACCAATCACTTCAAATACTTGAGTTCCAAACCTTCCTCTTTCAAATTTATCACGTTGAACTCATGACTGAACTAACCGTGAAAAAATATAATCATTTGTGAAGTTTTTGAGAAGATTAAGTCTATATGTATAATTTTATATGAATTTGTTTTGTCTGTTTTTATGCTGGAACTTTTCAAAGATATTATCTAATGCGACTTCATATTTCTATAAAGCGATTTTCACTGTAAAATCGAATTTTCATATGTTCCGTTGTAACAATAAAAAAATTGTTTCGAATTTTGATTGAATCCGCATCGAAAAAAAGTTTTTGAATGAATCATTATTGGATGACGAACAAACGAATTTTTTGACACTTCTCCATAACAAAATATACTTTC